TTAAATTTTAATCGAAAAATTTGAAGGCTAAGCCCTTTAATTTTCACATGCAAAAGGGGTTGAGTCGGTCATAAAACTAGAATTTTGAGTAGCTCCAACAAATTCCATTATGTGTATTTAGAAGCTTAGGCACAGATTTACGTGAACTCAATAAAGAAAATCGTATTTTCATTAATTGTGGAACACCAACAAAGCCAAATCAGCAAATTCCCAAGTGGGCGGAACGGGCCAACCACTCCAATTTCTCATATTTATCTTGTTCTTATCTTTATTTATTTTTAATCATTACTACCTTAAGCCTCGTATTTCTAATTTATTAAATAAATATTCCTAATCAATAAATAAATAATCCAATACAACTAAACTCAAGTTCCAGCATTAACATATGCTTTTCGGCTCCATTTAAATAAATAAATAAATAAAAGGAATAGATTACATCAAGTGTGGAGAAGAGAATATAATGCACCCACTTAAGAAAGTCAAAAATGGATAATACTTCATATTAAACTAAACACTTTTTTTTAATACATTAAACAGAAATGAAAAAATGGCTCAAAGTATGACATCATGATAATGCAGTTGTGAGTACTAATATATTCCGAAATATACAACACGTATATGCACTCCTTTTGTGTATATATATTTAGTATACAATATACACTATTTACATATTCTATACATATTTTGTAGATTAAATGGTTCTAAAGACATTGAACGTTAATTTAAATCAACGCCTTTAATCACAACCATGAATTAGAGAAAAAATGACATAGCATGAGGTTTGAGATGATCTAAACGTAAAATATGTTAGTATTGAAGACTAATTACCACTAAATCCTTTTAATTGTGAAGATATAATGGATGACTTTGACTATTTTATTTGTCTTTTATCTTGTATAACTGTATTTTTTTGACATATTGGTCTACCGCAGTTACCGTAATGACAATGCTATGCTTTTTATATTAAAGTCTTGAAGGTCTTGAAGACTTTATGCACATAAATTTACACTTGTACCAAGTTCCTTAAGCTTGTCAATTTTGTCGACACATGCTGATAAAGACCTTATTTTAAGGTTAGTTAAGACCGTTGAACTTTGTATGTTTTCAAGTAAGTATATAAAGTGACGAATCAGAAATTTCTAGAATATCGGTGCACCAAAAAAAAAGAGAAAAAATTGTACTTAGTGTTCTAAAAACATGGGTGTTAACAGATAATATTAGATCAATTTAAAAAATACATATATATATATATATATATATATATATATATACATAGAATACTTACTACTTATTCATGTAAGGCAATTTCCCCCATAAATTTACCCCTAAATAATATTTTAACAACAACATTAAATAAAAAAGGAGTAAAACAGCCGCAGTTGGGTTCATTGGGAACGTAGAAATTGAAGGTTTTGCTGGTGTCGTCTTATAAGGTGTCCCTTTTTTATGTGTGTATTATTATATTCAATGTCTAGACTTCTTTTAGTCCTTCTAATCATTCTGAATTTGTCGATGCCGAACCATCCATTTGAAATTTGAAAAAAATATTTTTGCTAATTTAAATTATTTCTACAAAAATATCATTCTGCTGAACATACACACACAAACTATAGTATTATTAAGAAGAAGAAACTAATGAAATAAAAAGTTTCTTTCAACAAGTGGCAAATCCAGAGGAAAAGAAATGAAAAATGTTTTGTAGTTTGGGCCCAAACCTTTTGGACTTGCAACATGTTTGTTGGACCACAAGCCCATTAGTGGAACGGCATATAGAAACTATATTATTAGATGTACTCTACTACTATAGGTCACACTACTATATATACCAAGTCCGTATGTACTATTATTATTATCTATACTTTAAATTTTTTACATATCTTACTACTAATTAAGAGTTTTCTACTATATATATTAAGGAAGATACACCTAGATACATGTATTTTTGCTATCAGATATACTAAAATAGGGAGAAAGGCGAGCGAGATTTGTTATATATCTTGATACATATAAATCACACTATATACACAAGAGAGTGGCAAGCGAGATGAGAGAGACGAGGGATGAAGACGAGATTTGCGTTTATCCCAAATACATGCGAATCCACTTGGATACAATGTATCTAGAACAAATTATACCTAATTTTGACCTCATGTATCCGAGATACATGTATATGGACGCACCAAAATCTGGTAAAATTCATAATATTATAACCTGAAGTTTATCTAAGTAATTAGTTTCTAAACCAGTGAGATTTATGTAAGTTTTCATATGAAGCTCTATTCACGAATCCAGAGCAAAATCAACACTTTTTAAGTAGAGTAAAACTAGACACGCACCCATGTTGCTCAATTTATGATAGTCCATGGACAAATTTACTCGTTCCACTTTAGAAATAATGTCTGCAATTTAAGGGACATCAAGGCATGTTAAATATAATGGTTAAGATATTTTGTAGTTGTGGGTAAAATGTTAGAAATTGAGAATTTCCATCGGCAAAGATAGGAAAACTTTAATTCGTGTGGAATTAAGGTCCTAGACATGGCGATAACAAATCTTTCTCCATCATGGGTCCTATAGGTACAGCTGTTACCACACCTTATGAACCAATTGCTTTAAGAAAAGAGGAAATCCTCATAGTATCATTATGACTTTATCTAATGGATAATTTGTTTTTTTTTTAACCATGGATAACCGCGGCCGCTACAACTTCTGTCACAGCCTCTGTCCTTTGGCTGAGCACTGGGTAAACCCGCCACTATGTAATAGCCTGCAAATCACACAAGAGACTTAAACTGCACTAGGCAAGTCCTACACGACAGACTCGACTCAGAAGGCATTGCGGGGGAATCAATCCCAATTCATCCGTGTGAATGACCACCTTCCCAACTGACCAACGAAAGAACTTGTACTTCCGGATTAAGTTGTAATTGCTTTAATTCTTGAGTTAACTAGGCTTAAGTCTTCTAATTTTTTCTTTAAATTGTAGGTGATAAAAAAATAACATAGCAAAACGTAAAAACATTTAAACTAGTGGAGAAAAAAAAATACATGTAAAAAGTAGTGGTTGAGGTATGGAACTTATCTGGACATCACTTTTATTAATTTAAGAAAGAGCCCAAAATCCACCGCACCCAATTATATAAATAGCAGCTAGTTGCTTATTAGGTGACTTGCATCATTTACCACTTTCTATCACGTGCTTTACACTTCTTGGAATTGCCCTATCCTTGAAGTTAAGTTAAAGGCAAAACATCCCTATCTAGGCCCACATCACATGAACGTCTATTTTTCTATATCCATCTACTGTTTTTATATATATTTTCAATGTTTTCTTGGAATTATACTCCTCTGAACTAAAATAATTGAATGTATATCATTCAAATTAACTTAATAGGACATGATCTATATTAGACTTAGTATGAGTGACGATCTGTTAAGAAATTAATAGAGCTTAGTCCTATATTAACCCCAACGACAAGTGCATGAGATCATGTGTACAAATCATATAAAGAGAACACAGCTTAATACTTCAATTAATGTTTAGCAATAGAATCTAACATGACCTAATTAAGATGTACATGAGATGGCAATTGAAAATGATGGGACACTAAAATAAAATGTCCAAGAAATACGTAATGATCCAAGACCATATTTCCACTAAATCATACTTTTTTGAGTTTTTCTGTTTCAATTTGTTTGTCTAGTTTTAATTTGGTATAAAATATAAGAAAGTAAAAGAAGATTTTTAAATCTTATATTGTTAAATTAAAGATTTGTCGAATGTACAAAACATTTTTTAATATTGTGGTCTTAAACATGTTTTGTCATTACTAGAAACAAAGGGTTATAAAACATAATATTCACACCTAATTTCTATCGAACCAACTCACAAGAAGCGAATTAAACAAATATTCTCATTGAAATAGTAAGAATAGTCACTGCACAATTTTTTTTCTCATTCATTTTAATCAAAATATCTGTGATGATAATCATTGAATATTTTTCGGAGGAAAATTTTAATGACCATTTCCACCTTAAAATCTTGAACTTAATGATGAAGGACCCATTATTGGATTATCAATTAGGAATGGAATGAAGACGAAAAATAAACAGTTTTATTAATGGCGGATTTGGTGAGATTTATAAGAGAATCTACTTTATAAAAATACTAAAAATAGATACATGTGAAGTGGAATTATCCAGTCTTATATATTAGGGAGAAACATGATGTTATGTACTAACATTGTGCTTAATAACGCTGGCAAAGTTGCGCCGCTATCCAATTGATCCCCACGTGATTAATAGTAATGAAGAGGCAAAAAGAAAGACTAATTTAAGGATTTTGGATTGAAAATAAAGAGTATAATAACTAGTCATGAGCATGTTAGAGAAAGAGAAGGTGGTGTGAGGTGGGGACAAAATTTAGTAAGAAGCAAGTTCATCATGAGGTCAGTTTAGTATAGTCCCCAACTTCTCTTTACCTTCCTTTAGCTTGCAGCCTTTGGAACAACTTGTTTTGATGTTTGTTGTCATATATTGTGATTTAATTTGCTAAGCCTTTTAGAAGCTTTTCATACAAGGTATAATTGATAGAATAGTATAAATATCGGTCGGATATAAATGTGTGTCTCCATGCAATCTCGAGTAATTAATTAATTGAGATATATTGAAGATGGTGGGTTCTTGGGCTATACTTTTGTTGTTAGTTGCAACTTTGCTGAGCTCAATATGTTTGGTTAATGGTCTTAATGTGGATCATAAGAAAACTAGGAGGAGATTTTCTCAAGTTAATGTCACTACTTCCAATGCAAGGAACACAACTTTTGTGAGTGATGTTATGGTGAATATTGAAAATGCTGGAAAAAATAGGGGCCAGGGAGGTGGAGGTGGCGGAGGAGGAGGAGGAGGTGAAGGTGGTGGAGGAGGCGGGGGAGGAAGTGGAGGGGGAGGTGGAGGAGGAGGTGGTGGTTATGGTGGTGGAGGAGGAGGCGGTGGTGGTGATGGTGGAGGAGGAGGAGGGGGAGCAGGAAAGGGGAGTGGAGGAAATGGAAAAAGTAGAGGGCATGAAGGAAAACATGACAAAGGAAGTGGTGGGGGAAAAGGAGCTGGGGGTGGTGGAGGAGGCGGAGGTAAAGGTGGTGGAGGAGGAGGAGGAGGTGGAGGTAAAGGTGGTGGTGGAGGAGGAGGTGGAGGTAAAGGTGGTGGAGGAGGTGGAGGAGGAGGTAAAGGTAAAGGTGGTGGAGGGGGTGGAGGTGGAGGTGGTGGAGGAGGAGGAGGAGGAGGAGGTGGAGGTTGGGGTTGGGGCTGGGGAGGAGGAGGCGGTGGTGGTAGCGGAGGAGGTGGTGGTGGAGGCGGAGGTGGAGGAGGGGGCAATTGTTGGGGATGGGGATGTTGGGAGTATCCTCCAAAAGGCAACTAATCTTTGCATGCATGATCTAACTTTTCATCACTTCTTTCTTTTAACCTAAAGCTTCAAAAGGCATTTAAAAAGTATTGCTTGGTTGTGTGAAACTCATTTCAATTACTTGTAATAAATTTTGTAACAGAAGAGTCTTAGTACTCAAAGAGTTGATTTAATGTTGTGGAATTGATTTCATGAATTAATAGAATTATAGTCCACTTTTGGTGTTTAGTAGTAGGTGATGGTGATTATCAATAAAATTAACCTTTGTACTTGTTTTTTATGGGATGATTGTTTCTTCTATAAGACAATGGCCCGTACTTGAATTCAGCTCGACACATTGAAGAGAAAGCCTCTTTGAACAAATTTATATATCTCAATATATAAGCAGCAAATATAGTATAAATGACATCGATCAATTAGTACTAGTAATTTCAAAGAGTTGAAATAGCTCAATAAGTTGGTTGACCATTTTAGTACTAGAAATAAAAGCTAAGCCCAATTGTAATCTAGCCCAAAATAACCCAGATCTCAGGCCCATATCGTTAGGAAGCAGATAAAAACATAGTAATGAATTGGTCTTGGACTTGGTGATGTTAGCTAATTGATGAACTTGAAAGAATATTCTCTGTCAAAATGATTGTTTCGAGTACAAAAGAATTGCCCAGTCGAAAAGTTTGGCCTACTAAACACTTTTTTAAATAAGAAAAAAAAAACCCTGTTGGGTGCATACCATTTAGTAGAAAGAAATAATATTTCGAATTCACAAGTTAAGCTAAAGTTTCCGTACACATCCTCCTCCCTAACTTCACTTGTATAAAAGAGGTGGGATTTTGATGGTTAGGGCCTTAGGTTGGACAAGAGACGGTGAAATTGGAATGACACTTACAAAAATTTTATTTTCCCTTTTCGATTAGGCAATTTTATTAGAAAAAATTAACCAATCAAATATGAAATAAAATATATTGAAACACACCATATGTTGTAGACAGGTTAACAAAAAAGCTAAAAAAAAAAGTGCATGGTCATGTCTTGGAAGAGAGTGATTGTGGGTCAATAAATAAGCTTTGCAGAGTAGTGATTGTGATTCCTTCCTTGTCCAGAATATGGCAGTCTTTAAAGTTTACGGATAGGAAAGGACGCATATTTCCCTCAATTTGTTTCCCAATAATTATTAGCTCTACGTAACTACATATCTTCGGAGGTTGGTTTGCATTTTTTCGATATTTTGGCATTAAAAAAGTTGATTATGTTTTATAATAAATACTTATATTTGTTGATGAGGTCATGTTTTTCGACCTTTTTAGTAGTAATTTAATGTTTTTCGAGCTAGTTACGATTTGGGTCGGCCGGTTGGGTAAAATCGGATGAGTGGGTTCAAGTTTAAAATAGGAGCAATGATAAAATACCACGAAGAATTTTTTCAAAAATAAATTAATTCAGTGTAGTGTTGATCATTAGTCAAAAGGTATAAGTGAGCAAAAATCTAGGATCTAAATATTTTTAGCAAAATAGATAAATAAGGAATATATTTAGATCTTTTGTGATAATTCAAAAATATTTTTGGCTCTTTTCTGATGTACTCTTTTCGATAGTCAAACCATTTAAGTTTGATCGGAAATTTATGCATGGAATTTTCAATTTTTTTGAAATGAAATTTAGAGTATATGTTTGTAAAGTACGTAAAAAGTACTATAAGTCACAATAATTGATAATTCAAAATTTTTAAAAGATCTATGAAAAAATTACGGTCAAAGATAGACTTATTTGAATTTCAAAACTTAAAAAGTGTCACATAAAATGGAACGGAAAAAGTAACAATTATCTAACTAAGCACTAGGTTAATTTGTAAAACAAAGAGGCAGTTACTAGCTAGATTCCACCCAAATATTAACCCAACCAATTGGATCAATAATTATCAAAGATTAGTCCCAAAATCAAAACTTAGCAACAAAAATATTATTTTTTTTAAATCCCCAGTCCAATTTAGTCTTGAAATGATTGAGCCATTTGCAACAGGTAGTGAATTAAAGTCGCTTTAATTAAACCAAGACAGAACAAAATGGAAAGTGTAGTAGACTATTCTTCAAACTTTTTTTTTTTCTCCATCCCATTTACGGAAACCATATTAAAGCCTTGATTAAATCTGAAACACATCAAAATTTTCTTTACATTTGAGATCCGAACCTGAAATCTCTAATTAAAGATAAAACAGTCACATCACGCTTATTAATTGATTAAACCCAACAAAGAGTCAAGCATTCGTAAGCACAGGAAAATTATAAATATTCAAAAATGGTATGTACGAATGTTTCGAAAGTTGAATATTAGAAATTGAAATGCACGTAGCATGGCATCTAGTGGTTTTTGAATTTGTCATGTCAATATCATTGCGATAACAACAATGTGGAAAATAAACTATAATTATCATTCTTTTGAACTTATATTAATTTCTAAATTGAAGATGATGAAATTTGTACCGCCAAATAGCTAAGCGCCAGGGAATAGGGATGATACTATTGCCACTTACCGAAATATTTAATTTAAGGCGTAAGCGCAGAGGGCGTCACGAATAGTAAACAGCAATTTTTAAGCACTAGTAGCATTGTGTTTTATTTATTTATTTTATAAAAAACACCCAAGAGGTGGTTAGTTTTTTATTAATTTAACTTATTTTTGTTATTAAGGATTCAAAATAAGCGGTTAGAAGTATTTTAAAAAAAATATCTTATAAAAGTGCTTTAAAAGCTATTTTGATTTTCACCAACTAAGTAAATCAAAATATGCTCTATGCTTTGGGAGGCCAAAATTGTTATTTTAATATAAATAATGTGTTTGACTAAGCTTTTGAAAGAAAATAAGTATTTATCCAAAAATACTTTTTTTAAACGCTTTTGAGTAAATTCTTTTTATCAAAAACACTAATTACTACGGTAAATTGTAAAGTATTTTTAAAATTGATTAGTAGAACACAATAATTTTTTTTATAAGGAAAAAAAAAACTTAAAATAAATCAATTTTAATAGTTTGACCAAAAAAGTTATAAATCGGAAATAAATTGGAGTTGGCTGATTGATTTTTTAATTAATAAACTGCAAAACTAAAGAAATGAAATATGGAATGGGATTAGACCAAACAATTAAGAAAAAAATATAGTAACTTAGAGAGAAAAAGGACACACTTCAATTTACACTTCATCTAAAACACTAACTAAAATTTGAACTATATATATATATATCTTCTTCTTTAATTTTCTTCATATATATATATATATATATATATCTTCTTCTTTTTCTTCTTGGAACAAGTTTTTGATAAACCAAAACACCAATATTTAGTTAGTTAATTAATTATTAATCCTCTCAAGGTGTCATTTACAAATGCTTGTGGATAAAGAAGTCATAATAGATTTAGACCGTTTGGAGAAGTAGTTGGGATGGTTGGGACACAGTCATTGCAAGCATTTTCCACTCAATTACCCTAATAATTCCGTGGGTAAGCAAAATGATAAAGTTTTACCATAATTGCATATTTTATGTTGATTAATTATTGCTAAGTTTAAAGAAAAAAATTGGTATTGATCTTCTTTAGTCCTGCATTCCACTTTTCTAAATGGAAATTAGTCGCATAGTTAAACACTTTGATCGTGCTATATATATATATATATATATATGTCTGAAAAACAATTTTAGATACTACTTCCTCCATCTCAAATTATTTCTTTGATATTTGAACATAGTTATATTAACTTATTTATCGTTTTTGAAGTTAAGACAAATTCAGTTGTTTTCCATTTTAATTACCTTAGGTACTCCCTCTGTCCCATATAAATAGTTGTCCACCTTACTATAAATAATTGTCACTAACATTATTTGTCAAATTTACAAAATCAAAATATATAATTACTTATTATTTTTCTCATTTACCCTTACAATTAATTAATTTGTTTTTGAAAGTATAAACATGCAAGTTTGTAAAGTAAAAAAGTTTCTTTAGGACAAACTAGTAAAATTATCCTTTTAAGGACGTGTAAAGGAGAAAGTGAACAACTAATAGTAATATGTGACCTAAGTAGTGATTACTATGATTACTCAAATAACAAAGAAGGGTAAAATAGTGAAAATGCCCTCGTTATTAATATTTTTTAAAGAGCATATAAAATCAATGAGGACAAATAATTTGAGTACTATTTTAGCCTACTCTTCTTGAGCTTATAAATTTAATGGAAACACCTACATACTTTAGAGAACATGTCTGAACATTTTCAGTCGCACTTATCATCACATCCACTAATTACTTTGGATATTACCTAATCAATCATTGATTAGAACAATATTTAAATACACTAATGACATAGATATTGTGAAAGTCAGAGCAAAACACTGTGACAAATGGCATGCGTTCTTTAATCAATTGTGGATTGTGCATTCAATTAATCTCAATCATCAATCAAATTAGCATCCTAAATCCATTTTATGTAACTAATTATTAATTTTAGGGGTCATTTGGTACAAAAATGAATAATGCAGGGATTTCTAATGTTGGGATTAGTAATGCAGGATTTATTTTTACCAAGTGTTTGGTTCATTGGTTCCAACCCCATTTTGGAATTGGGTTAAAACTTTATAAAAAAAACTTCTTTCCAATTATACCCTTGAATTATTATGTAAATAATTGCCAGACAATATTATTTTTTTATGGCCTTCTAACTAGCTATGAGAAGAACAATTTTGTTGTCATGTTTGCCTTTTTTTTCACTTAAATTATTTGAGGATAAATAATTGTCATCTTAGTAAATTGATTACTTACAAAATGCCAATTTTCAAATTTAATAAAAGATAAACTATCAACTTTTAAAATTGAAAAGACGTAAACAATAGTAAAACTAAATAAATCATATCTACATTTACACATAAAAATTGCAAGTTGTAGTTTTTAATATGTATGTAATTTTATAAATTGTTCAAATATAAATAATTAGAAACCACACAAATATTGCCCTTTTAATTAGTTAATGTTAAGCAACTCACATTTCAAATATTGTATTAATTTGTATTGGATTTATGTTGTAACAAACAACTTTCTCTAAATAATTTGTAAGCTAATTTATTTAAATAAATTTACTAGTACAAATATAAAACATAAAATCAAGAAAATAAATAAAATAATTAAAATGATTTGAGGGATATTTTTGTCTTTACATAGACTTATCCCATGGTATTATATCCAATGTATTACTAATACCTCCAAATGAAAGGTATTAGTAATACACCCTATAATACCAAGTAGGAGGTATAACTAATCCATGGATTAGTTATACATAGGCTCATATTCCTACCAAACATAATACTAAATAATACCATACATAATACATGAATTATTTAGTCTAATGCGGCCTACCAAACGACCCCTTGGTATTATATTATTTCCTAGTTTTGGTAGATTCTTTTGGCCTCTTGTCTTGAGATGCTCAAATATGTGTGAACAATCCCTTATACCACTAATACTATTTAATATTGTCTGTATGATCACGTGATAAGTTGTGTGATCACGTGTATGAAACTTGCCTATAAATGTGCCAGAAATAATGCTGATAATAATACTCCAAGTAACCTAAGTAGATATGGGAGCTAGTGTCATCATACATGTTAAAATATGATAGTAACAAATTAAAACTCAAAACTAAGGAACAATGTAAGTGAGACGTGCAAGTTTCTATTTTAGTGAAGGTTCTTTTTCTTCTTCTTTTTGACAACAAATTTTAGATGAAGGTTCTCATCTAGTTTTTGTGTCTAAGAAAGCAAATTTACAAATCTATTAATCATAAAAGAGAATTCCAAAGTGACATGATTGATATTTAGTGCCTTATATATAAGTGGTTCAAAGTAAGTGTGATCACCACAAGTTAGTCGATAAGATCACCAATATGTCCCAACAAAAACAAAGACATTATTCAATTTTTTCTCCTCTCTATTTAAGTCTTGATCGATAGAATTACCTAATTGGTGGAATTATATTTCCTTAAATTAATGGATTAGATCCTCAATTCAATTTCAAAACACCTCAACCATCTAGTACATTTTTATCACTGGGCTAAAATTCCAAATGAGGAGTGGAGTAATATTCACTCCAATATCAAATATTAGAAAGAAAATTAAGCAAAAGTGGAAAGAATAAAATAAGAGAAGGATATGTCCATTTAAAAGACTGTTAAACGCTATGTTTATAATAGTAAAGCTAAGAATTTTGCTAAAAGTGTTTAAAATCTTAATATATATCTCTGAAAAGTTATTTTTAATATATATACACAAAATTATTTCTATACATAATATAAATTCTTAATATGTTCGAATGACCATTCTTGAATCAACCTAGCTACGTCACTGAATATGAAGTGAAACCATAATAAAACTAGGAAAGTGCGCGCCACTCTTGTTCCCACAGAAGAGTCACAGTCCATGCAGACTGTATTTTTCTCTTACTCTTCAACTTTCTACACGAAAAGCTTGTGATTCCTTTCCTCTACCAAAAAAGACTCCTAAAAAGTAAGATACTCCTTTCAAATCCTTAACGCACTCCTGCTTCGTTTTAATTTATTTGTCTGATTTTTATTTAATATAAATTTATATTTTGATGTCTTAAATTAAATATATATAAAATTTATAAAAATATTTATTTTAGTCTTGTAATTAAACATATCATAAAAAGTTAAAATTAAAAATAGATAAGTAAATTAAAATGTTGTGATATTATCGGTCACATCGAAATTATTGCATGGAATTTGTCTCTTGAGTCCTTCCCACCTTAACCATGTGTCTTAGAATTCTCTGAATCTTGTTCAAATAGTGTGGGTGGACCACATCAAGATATACCATTGCCACCCAAAATGTCATTATTCATGTTTGTTTGATTTTTCCATTTGTTTGTATCAAACAAATAGTGAACCACTTATACTAATAAAGAATAAGAGTAAGAAATAGTGCAAAACTTACAAATATAAGATTATCTAGTCATGTATTGCAAAACTAATTCGTTAGGATTAGGCGAATGCTTATGGCTCACGCCATGACTGTTTGGGAATTGGGGTGTTTGCATTGGCTCAGTGCTTAATCATAGGGTTGTGATACATTGGTGGGACTGCTTAATCAAAGGTTTTGAGTTCGAGTCTTCTGTATGAAGAAAATTTTGTTGGGAGAGTCACCTCCGAATAGGCTTTGCAGTGTGCGATTCGAATTTAGTCAGGATTTAAATGCAGGTCTCAGACAATGGGAGGTGAAAACCAAAAGAAAAACACTTAGGGATCAACTCGTACAAAGACTAATTATTCCTGAATTATAATCCTAAAGTTATTATTTTTTTGGGAAAAAATTGTGCATTATAGCAAACTATTAATTCAAAGTAAATGTTATAGCTACAGTTATTTAATTCCAATTCGCGGCAAACTTTTTGTCATTCGCCTCTCTCCCCTCTCTAAGGAATCTCGCTCGCCACTCTCCTCTTTTTCAGTCATCTTTTCCTCGCCTCTCTCACTTTACTATATATACACATACAAATACATCTCTCTGTTCTATACAAATACAAATGTTTAACTCAATTCAATTGCATACAAATTCAAATTTTATGTAGATATACAAACACAATCATTGATCAGAGCAAGAGCTTGGGATACGTCAAGTTAAGCCGATACGTATAAATAGTAGTTACATATATACAATTATCTAGCTGATATACATATACAATCCACCTCTGTCCTCTCTCTCCTAGTCTCGCTCGCCACTCTAGCCTAACACAAAGAACATATACATATATACAAACACAATTTTCATAGGCACAGACGAATTACTGCCCAATTTATACAAATCGTCGCGATTTATACAAACCAGATGCTTCATATCAAACATAATTTGGCTATGGAGCGCAAATAGCAAAACTGTAGCTATTAGCACTAATATGATTTTTATATTTGTTATTCCTAAAATTTACTCTCTGTTTTTGTTTCCTTCTACTTGTCACTATTTTCTCTTTTAAACTCATACGATATAAATTTTGATTAACATTTTAGAGTGTCTTTTTTCCATCATATTAATATGTAAAAAAAAATACAATTTATACTACTTTTCTTATGAATTTTGAAAATCTTAAGTTTTATTTTAAAATCTCAATTCAATATAATTTAATTTAACGTTGAAAATTAGTCAATTTAACTCTCAAAAAGTTGTGACAACTAAAAAGGAACAAAAAGTAATCTATTGACTAATTTATTTCATATGAAAAATGAGATAAAATAAAATTACAAATTGAATGGAACAAAATGTGATATGCCAAGATTAAATTTGAAATTATTGTATTTAATTATCAATTAAATATAATATAAAAATCTAATTTTAAAATATCTCACAATATCCAGGTACCAAACAACCCCCTAAAAGACTCATATACTTCTCACTTTTCAACGGCCTGCTTTACTAAAAGGTTGAAACGTTCCAAATGCACTTGTCATCTTGCTTTTCCCTCCTATTTTTTGCACAATAATACAAACACACTTATTATAACAAATAACAATAAAGAATAAAAACAAGACTATAAATGAAAATAAGAAGATTTTCTCTAAAAGACTTTTCTTTTCCTTCTTTTTTTTCTGGGAATTATATCAAGTAAAGTACATTAAAGACTCCTCCATCCGTTACACTAAACTTTAAAACCTACCTTCACCAAATCTTGGGTCCATGTTAGGAAATGTACAATCTAAACCGGGCCTAACTCTCTTACTAAACCGGTTCTGTTTTTTACCCTTACTAACTTAACTCCGGTTCACTTTCTTTTTTCATCTAAAAATTCCTTCCTTTCCTAACTAAAAATAAAATTCCCTAAAAAGCAAATAAAATATCTTCAAAAACTCTGAACCGGCTGAGCTAAACCGGTTTCTTCTGATTCCTTCTTCCGCCGCATCTCCAGAACTTTCCGGTGATTGTTTGAGTGCAACTCGGTGGAAAACGTTGGGCTGCATGCCGGACGGTACTCCGGTAGCAGCCGACCAGATTTGAACCGAACACCACAAGCATTGCAAAGAGTTTTTGCACCCATTGGACCGGCTCGCCACTGTGGGGTTTTCTGAACCCCACAATGGCTGCACCGCCGTGGTTGCTGAGGCCCATTTCCACCATGTGGCGCCGGTTTCTTCTTCAGCTTCTTAGCCAGCGGTTTACCTGGTGACTCGGCAGAGTGAACCGGAGTTGGGTAAAGGAACCAAGAAGCAGTAGGAGATGACGACATGGTAGTGGTGGAAGATGAGGAAGTTGAAGAAGAAGATGAGTCGGTCAATGAACCTGAACAGGCAGGCCAAACTCGGACGCTAGTCCTTCCTCGCTTAGTTCTTGCCTTGGTTTGAACCGGAGTTGCAAAACAGGGCTTCTTCTCTTCAACCGGAATTTCTCCGTCGCCTGTTTTTTTCTCGACCGCCAATTTTCCGGCAGGATAAGCAAGTGAATACCCAGAAAACGAGTCTTCAACAAAATGAGACAGCCATTCAAGGCTATCCAAGTCATCAGTCTGTTGCCAAAAAAAAAAAATCGCTCTGTTACCTTCAGTTCAAGAACTAAGAAAAAAAACGTTTCTTTTTTCATATAAAATAAAACTTTACAGCAAAATCAAAACAGGGGCGGTTTGGGAAGACTCACCGGAACACTGATTTCACTTACAGGAAGAGAAGCAAAATCTTCTTTAACAGAAATGGTGACTTTGTCCTTTTCAACAATTTCTGTTTTTTTCAGAGGAGAAACAGAAATTGAAACAGAGCATGGTTTTTGAACAGAGATATCTTCTCCCCCCTGGTTTTTTCCTTCTTCTTCTTCACCTTCACCTTCAACAAAGCCATTGGAGAAGTCAAGCAGGTCGTCAACAAAGAAATCATCGCCGGAGACTCCATTTTGACCGGCGCCGGCGGCAGACAAGTCATCCCCAAAGGTCTGGTTTTGGGTCATTTTCAATGGTGTCTCCGGCACAAAACTGTTTCTCAAAGCCCCCTCCACACAGTCCATTTCCTAATAACAGTTACACAAAGCAAATTCAGAACAAGAAACACAAAAAGATTGAATCTTTGAGAGGTTTAAAGAAGAAAAAAATAAAAGTACCTGGATATATAGACGAAGAAGATAAGAGAGGAGGAAGATGAAGAAGGTGGATGAGGAGATAGGGAATAAATATTTTTTGCTTTCTTCCTTAAAACTTCTCCTAAATACTTTTTTTCTTCCCCTGTTTCTCTTTTTATTTTCCTTTGTACTTTTCTGTGGGGGGATTTCATTTAAATAGTACCCAGTATTTATAACTTATTTTCTGACTATAAAAGATTTAGGAGATTTCATTTTTAAATTTTTATATATTTATTATTAATTTTATGTCCTTATTATAAGATATTTTTATTACTACAGTCTACATGCATAAGTGCTGGAAAAAAAAAGTCTTTCTTTTTTTAATTCAATTAGTAAATGGTCATTAAAGATAATTTTCTACTAAACATTCAATAGATTGACTTATATTAAATATAAATATAAATACCAAACTAACAATTTGACTTATTCCTACTCATGATATTCTATGTAATTTGGGTGAAATAATTTTATTTGCATTTAAAATTGTCTTTAATTTTATGTCCTATTATTTACATAAATTTTATTTATTTATACGTAAAAAAAATTAGAAAAATTATTGTTTTGTTGCAAAAGCTATCAAACTTTAATATCTAGAACCGCTTTTTTTTCCCTGGATATTTCAAAGGATAAATGCTCAAATATTATAAAACCTTATTATTTCCAAATTGGCTACTTAAATGAAGCGTTATGGAGCCAAATAGCTTACAAAATTTGAAAATAATGTGATGAAATTAAACGAAACTGCCAAAAAATAATTGTTCATTTACTTTTAGGAGGTGAAACTTTTCTTGTTTTAGAAGATTGGTCCCATATCTTTTGACTAATTAATTACGTATGCTTATCTTAGCTAACGCTTTATTCGGCGCTCTTTGATGCCAATTTACCAATTAATTTGTTTTCCCGCTCTTTACACTTTTCTAATTTCCATCAAAAGGAGAAAATTTCCTCAATTAATTATTTGTACTTCCAATCTTCTTGCTCCTTTTTTAAATTACAATAGATTAATTAAAAATAGTTACACTGGTCATGATCATAAAAATCTATTGTGTAACCAATTTAAAATAGCTGATAGATATTTGTGTGGCTATATATAATTTTATCAAGGATAATATAGATATTTTAAAGTCACATAGTTACTTACTATAGAAATGTATTATTTTTTTTGGCTGACTAAAGAGAAAAATAAATCATATAAATTGATATAGAGGGAGTAATATAATTTAATTTCCAAATACAATTGGTCATGATTACTAGAAATTTTTTTCTTTGACTGGAATTTCTTCTATGTTATTTTAAAATATTATAAGCTATTAATTATTGTGATTTATTATACCTTTTTTTATCTCAATTTATATGTCTCACTTTTCTTCTTAGTCAATCTAAAATGAAGTAATACATTTCTATATTTATTAATAATTTAACTTTAAAATTCTCATTTGACCATAAATGAAATAATTTTATTTTAGATCATAAATTTCAAAAGTCTTTCATTTTTTCTAGAATCTCTATTAAGTCAAACTAAATTATATAATTTGGATGGAGGAAACAATAGTTTTTCCGTAGTTTCTAAATGTATATATTTTATTTTAAAAATCTTAACTCTTTTATGTGTGAATTTATAGTCAAAATTTAGAAGTTTAAATCTCGAAAATTGTTCTGCATATACGTGGAACAAAATGAATAATAATTTTTATTATATAAATTTTATTTAAATGCCTTGAATATCCTACGCACCAAAATTTAGATAGTTGATTATCTTGTACTCTAAATCATCTAGTATAAATTTTATTGTTATTTATCTTTGCAATTTCAAAAGAAAAAGTAATTGCAATAACTTTTGAATTTGAAGATGAGTGAAATCACTTTGCATGCGCATGTATTGCCCATGAAAGAATGGTTGTAATTTGCACGTAAAGTATACCACTGACCTAATTTTCGATTCTGGGTGGTTCGTCTAATGCAAGAATTCACTTCATGATGTTCATTGCATAGTGGGAAAATTAAAGTCACAAATAAATCCAAATAATCTGACCTCAATTATACATTATTGGTTTCCTTTTTTACACCCAATATAACATGTTTTTTGAATTTGCACTAAAAATATTAAAATTTGTATATGGTTTAATATCACAGTCTCATTTTATATTGTTTACTCTTTAAATATTCAATTTTAGACATGCAAGGTGTTAGAGTCTCGTGTTAGTTCTTAGGGAGGTGAAGACTTTTTATATGGTTTTAGATTAATCTTTACTTTATGATTTAACTTTTTGAATTTAGTTTGATTCAAGGTTTATTTCTTATCATGGTATTATAAAATCATGCTTGTCTGAGTTATCTCAATTTACTATTTAATTGTTGCGCCCAACTTAATTATATAGTTGGAAAACAACCGCTAACAATTTATTACATATTTCTCTGTCTACACCTATGATATATATTATTTTTGTCTCGTATAAAAATGTTGCAGTATGATTCTTATGTTTATTTATTTTGTTAGAAACAGACTATGGTCTATATATATTATTATGAACTCGCTCGTTTAATAAATCAAGGAAAACAATTTATTTATAACTCAATAATTCTCTATTCCTCTCTACTACTTTTCTAAGACATGAGACTAATAGCTAGTACTATTGTACTAACATTCTTATTATAATAATAATGCAAAAACTAATTAAAAGTAGGAAGTAGAAATCATATATTTCTATACTGTATATTCTGATTAAAAAACTCATATTTATTTAATTAGTAAATTACACACATGTAGTGCATGTAATGATAATGAAGATATATGGCATAATCCCTTGGAAGCAAAGAGTGCTAAAAGTAGATGAAAGCATAGCCAGTTGCTTCCCCCACCACCATTTGTCTCCATCTCCAATGATTCCTTTGCAAATCCAACTGCTGTCTCTTGTATCTTGTGTATATTTTATTTACTAGATACAAAAGATCGGATAAGTTTGGGCTCAATATATATTATTTTATTTATTTTAATTTTATAATTTTGTTGTCAATTAGTATTAGTATAATATTTTAACATATTTTTTAAATAATATATACGGCAAATGCGATATTTTGAGAGTCATAATTTGTAAGCAGCCACAATAAATCTAAAATGACTAAATTATCCTCGAACTTAATGGATATTTCTGAAAAGCACACATGTCGACCGAGATATCACTCTTAAAAAAAAGGCATCAATGACATGACATGCCAACTAAGAGAAAGTAAAACTTTTGAAGTGTTAAGTATATTTGGAGGAAAATAATGATAGTTGAGTGATATTTTGGTCCTAAATGAAACATACATGATATTTCAAGACAATTTCCTAAACTTGGGTGACCATTTAGAGAATTGACTCATATTAGCAGTGGATATAATTTAAGAATATATATATATATATATATATATATATATATATATATATATATATATATATATATATATATATATATGACTAATTAAAAACTTACAAGGAGAGCATTTTTAATTTGTGAGACCACTAATCGATTTTTTTCTTTTGAAGTAATACGTATAAGTTGATTGAAAATTTACTCGAGTTGCAACTTGCATATCTAAACTATAATTTAATAATAATGTGATTATAGTAGTCATGAACAAATAAGTTTAATAAAATATATTTCATAAGCTACTTTTTAAAAATATTTATAATTTATAAATTATAATTCTAATTCTGTCTTTACGTCGATGTTGCTACTTACAACAACGAGCGAGGACGAAATTGGTATACTGAATCGGATTATAGATAAAATTTGGAGATTTTTATCTTTTAGAAGAAATTGAAATAAGAAAATATTTTTTAAATAAAAAACGAGACTTTGAAAAAAAGGAATAATGTTCAAGAAAGATTAATAGATACCAAAATGTGCGACGGTTTTTACATTGTAAATAATTTAGACCGCCGGCTCAATGTCGTAATATAGCAGGCCGGTAACACGTGTAATTTTTTGATAGGACAAAGAAAATCTGGCAGTTGACTGGCATCAAAAATTATTTTTACAATTTCGAGGTTAAGGTTTTATCCTATGGTCGAGTATAATATCATTGACCAGCTACTACAAATATTTTAATTTTGAATTTTAAAAACTTTGAATTGAATAGATTAACTTGGGTATGAGAATTTTTTTGGGTAGGAAGCGTTTCTCCTCCAATGAAGTCTTATACGGTGTGAATGTAAATATATTATACTTAGGCCTAACTCAATCCCTAAAATTTAGCTCATAATTACAAAAGCTAGCTCATAATTCATATAAGGAGACCGTTAGTCTATTCTCCAACCAATGTGGGACTTTCACCACTCTAACACCCTCCATCACATCCAGACCCAACTTGAGCGTGGATCGAAAGTCTAAACGAGGATGAACCTGGCCCTGATACTATGTAAAAATATGATATCTAAGACTAACTCAATCCAAAAACTGACTCATTAGGGGGGATCACTCAAGTCCACATAAGGAGATTGTCATCTATTTCCCAACCAATATGAGATACACACTCTAACAGTGAATTCGAAATAGTTGAACTTCAACGTGAGTACCAGATATCTAGTGGAAAGTAAAAAAATAAATAAAATAGAATAACCCGAAAAAGAAAAAAACAAAAGGAAAAAAGTAAATGCATATAATTGGCGCCCACTTTCATCATCCTCGGCGTTACAAATACAATCTCCTCGCAATGTGCAGCCTACCAAAATTCAGAATATCCATGTATCTGGATAACCTATGTTTGTGTCATTATTACCTTATTGCCCCTCTTACATTTAAACTTCAACTCTACCTACATGTATTATAATTTCCAAAGCAAACTCATGTGTATTGAAAGGATTAAACGCACTATAGTCTATACATGAACTCCCAAAGACCAAAATTGTTGTAATATTACACACTATCAATACAATATATAATTTAATCAATTATAATTGATTGCTATCATGTTTTTTAAAGTTAGTATTCTATGTCTCAATTTATACGAGTGAATTTGACTTGACACAAAGTTTAAGAAGAAAAAAAGATTAACAGAAAGATACTGACATACGAGGAAGTCTAAGGAAGTAGGTTTCCACTTTCCTAAAACGTCCTTATGTGTAGTACCATTTTTTGCTTCATTACATTACATTACTTGCAATGCCAAC